TTCGAATGTCAACAGACAAGAGACCTAGGTCCAAGGCTTCCTGTCTATTACCTCCAACCATATCTAACATAAACAGAATAGGGTATAGCAAGGATTACAAATATTCAAAATATTTATATGTTTCTAAAAATGGTTATTACTGTAAATACTAAAAAGTACAAATCGAAATTTATATGCCACTATTCTCTTTTGACATTTTCTTTCAGAAAAACAGACACGCACAGATCATCTCGCTTTTGGTCAGTGAGTGAGTCATTCAATGTATAGTTAAGCGAAGAATTATCTGAACTCGCATACATCTCCCTCCTCCTCTTCTCCCTTTATCTTTGAAACCGCACTTTGCTTTTGCCTATATTTTACTATATATGCATTCACTACGTGCACAGTGTATTTACCCTTTTGCATGCTTGATTACGTTGACAATGAGAGACTTTCAAGGGCATAAAAACAAGTTCAAACTTAGTCGTATATGTATATAAATTTGTCTACAGACAAATACACGTAAGCAAAAGTATGACTATGTATTTATATATAAAACATTTCCAATTAGACTTTACCAGTGATAAATATGGTAGGATATAGCATTGATAATACTAACAATAAAAGTATTTATGATAGGAGAAAAAGTCTGTGTTACTGTGCACAGAAACCTGTGATGGTCTCCTTTGTTAAGACGTATATATATATATATATATATATATATATATAACTCACTACTGTGAAACGCGCTTCTTGCTTATGACGCAAAACCACACAACATGTGGTAATAACATAAGCAGGAAAAATCACCTTTAATATACGTATTCTTTGTTTTACTGGGAAGTATTCATTAATGCTATTCTATTATAAATGCCTTTTCTCACTTATTCATATAAATTTACTACTTCCAATACAGTCGTGCAGGAGCGAGCGTGAATAGCTCAGTGGTAATGTCTCTGATTGCAGCACCAGATGAAGCGGGTTCGAATCTCAGAAGGGATATGAGTTTCTTCTAGGTGACTGGTGAGTGCCAACTAGCACGAAACCTAGGTCGGGTAGGGCTTCCTGCCAATTGCCTCCAACCATCTAATATCATCAGATCAATGTGCCCCGTGATGGCGAAATACCTAGAATGATGGCCACACTGCAAAGCTGACTGATAGAATTCAGTCTGCAAAAAAGAAAGGCAAGACTAGACACGCCACACTAGTTACTAGTGTCCAGTCAAAGTATACTTCCTAATAGCTTGCATTGCATTACCACTGGGGGGGGGGAGGGCGGCGGGGAAGGAAAAACCTCTCCGTTAATAAATAATATTGTAATTTAAGTAGTTGTGTTCCTTCCAATGCTGTGTGCATTGTGTGAACAAAATCTATTATTGTTGATAATCATATCACTTGTAAGAACACAACTTTGAAACCTGATTTTTATACTTCTCAGTCTTCTATCCTATTTGTCGTATCGGATAGTAGAATTGTAACAGCAGAAGACAAGGGCCAGGCAACAGATCGTTTATTAAGGAAATCAAAGCATATTTATATACTTTCATGTACGCTATAATATATTAGATAAGCAAACAAACACAGTCTTCTGATTGGTTGTTTCTCACTTAAAGTTAATCTTTCATCTCTTTGTGACTGTTTCTTGACTGTCAGATCATCTATATGTTAACTGTATCCGCCTACTCAAAGTCTGCTGTGGTCGGTTTTGAATCAATCTTTGTTCACATTTTCTCACGCCAAATCTTGAGAACGTAAACATTGACGTAAATTACTGTCTACTAATTTGGCTAGTAGACAGCTCTCACCACAGAATTATCAAAGTGTCCGTAACAGGTGTAGAGTCATTCTTATTGCACATCCTAGCAGGTGACTTGATAAATAAGGTTTCAGTTATAAATCTCTTCATCCGTAAATGTTATACACAAAAGGTTCAAGTTACCTTGACATTAGTGAACTGGTAGTAACAGTCAACAATCGTACTTGTAAATCTTTCTAACTCACAAATGGAAGATGGTGTTAAATCTTGTGTTTGAATAAAATGGTTTTCAAACTGAACCTTTATATCTGAATGTCGCTTTAGATAAGACTGCTATGGAAGTTTTGTCACTGGGTCCTAAATTTTGCGACAAAACCGTTCATTGGATGGAGGATTTCATCATGAGCTGACATCAGTTAGAGAACCACTGGAAAACCTGGGAGTACTGGACAGTTCTAGTGGGAAGCCCTAACCAGTAGGGAACAGTAGGTTGAAGGTGAGGCAGTAACTCATAGAAGAAGACATTGCGAAATGGTTGCGCTATGTCGAGAATTGGCAGAAGTTAGAATCCATGAGCCATTGGATCGAGTCCCAGTGGCTAAATGGTCTACGAGCTCGCCTTGTAACCAGAAGGTCCTGGGTTAGAACCCTGGTGGGTGCGTACTATGAAGAGTCCCAAGCTAGGACGAAACAGCTGTCCAGTACTTCCAGGCCTTCCAGTGGTTCTCTAATTGATGTCAGCTCGTGATGAAATCCTCCATTCAATCAAACAAAATCCCTACAAAACCAATGATTGAAAAAACCGTTAAACTGATCATTTAGAGGTAGAGATGTAGTTTGAAAATCTTTTTATTCAAACATAAGATTTAACACCGTACTCCGGGTGCGAGTTTGAGATAATTACGAGTACCATTGTTGGCTGTTAATACCAGTACAATAATATCAAGGTTAAAATGAAAGCATATTGACGAAAAAGCATAGAGAATGCATGAAGGAAGGGGTCACGTGATAAATAAAACTGAAATTCAAGCTCTTTTGGATTGGCTCCCAGTGGATGAATGGTCTACAAGTTTGCCTTGTAACCGGAAGGTCCATGGTTCGAACCGCGACGGGTTAGTACTGACGATGATTTCCAAACCAGGATGAAACAGCTGTCCAGTACTCCCTGGTTTTCAATGATTCTCTAACTTACATCAAAGTCGTAAAAAACAATTAATTCTTATAAACCAACTCCTGATAATATGGAATCACCAAGTGTTGGTTTGCAAGGATTTGATTGGCTACAGGTTGAATCACGAGTTGAGAAGACCACTGGAAACCCCGTACACAGGAGTGCTGGATAGCTGTTTATTCCTAGTTTAAAACTTTTCAGAAGTACACATCCTATGATTTCGAACCCAGGATCAGATCTGTTACTCGCCTACGACACTGGCTGCCAGTCGCGCCGTATCCATCGTCAATTGGCAGAAGTTGGAATTCATGGATGACTGGATTAGGTCCCAGTGGATGAATGGTCTACGATCTCACCTCTTAGACAGAAGGTACTCAACTTGAACCGAATCCGTGGGTGCCTAGTGATGAAAAGTCCCAAACTGGGCTGACGAAGCAGCTGTCCAGTACTCCAGTATTGGTTTTCCAGTGATTCTTTAACTAATGTCACCTCGTAATCAAACTTGTAATATGGAATTATATTTTACCATAGAGGAAAAGAGAAAGTAATTCGCCTTCTGACTGGTATCGAATACACCTGCAACTTCATTCATTATTCCTATTTTCTATAGTTTGGTTTGTAAGTGTTAGTTATGTTTTTACGGGTTGATCACGGATTGATATCACTTAGAGAACCATAGAAAACCAGCAGGGAGTACTGGACAGCTGTTTCAAGGCAAACTCGTATACCATTCAGCCACTGGGACCCGATTCAATGGCCATCCCATGAATTCTAACTTCTACCAGTTCGTGATTTAGCGCGACCCCAACCAATGTCGTTGGTGGGACATCCATCCTCACACGTGACATCTGGGTTTTTTTATTTTTTTATTTGTCAGTAATTTGTTTATCATTTTGCCATGCCTTTTATTTACTTTTCATTCAGTCTGTTGCGTCTACACACTTAGAGTTCCATTCAAATAGTGAATAAATATACCTGGAACAATGAAAAAATCGTGAATATTATTATTATTATTATTATTATTATTATTATTATTTTATTGTGCTTTTATTATCCATCATCTTTCCACCTCCTCCTCCCCTTTGTCTTAAACCTCTTCATACAACTTCATAGGTTCATACGTTCATACGTTGTCTCAATAATCAACTAACTGTATATGTGTGTGTACTATCAAGCAATAGACGCTTGCTTGTAAAATTCTGTCTATCCGTCTCTCTACACTTACATTTATACAATGCAAGTATGTAGATGAGTGTATGCCTACGTTTATCTTCATATGCATGTATGTGTGTCATCCTATACTAACCATAGCCACTAACTAACTAACTAACCAACTAACTGACTGACTGACTAATAATCAGACAGTGAGAGAGAGATAAATTTCACCAATGTGTATTGTTGTATCGGTATTGGGAGAGATTTACTCTCTGCTCCTACTACTACTATGACTACTACTACTACTATCCATACATATCTCATCTTATTTGACTCACCTCCCCCACCATCACCACCATCACCAATCTCCTCCCATCCCCTTCCTTTTCGCACTCTTCTTTATAATTCGCCTACTACTTTCACTTATTCACAATTTTTCAATGATCATAGGTCAACACAATATTATTATTACACCTGATAATATACATCTGGTGTACACACGTCACTGGTACACAATACAGAACAAACATTATTGAAAAAACAATATATATACTAATATTAATAATAATAATAATAACATAGAAATAGTATAATGGTATTGGTTAATAAATTGATTATGAAGGCATTACGGCATTAAATAATGTTACTGTACACACACACAGGTGAATTATCTCTCTTGGTAGCACAAGTTGTTTTAAAGATAAACATTTATTTTGATTAAATGATGAAATGTGTTCGTGAATACGTTGACTTATGCACACACCCACGCACACACGGTCGCACGCACGCACGCACGCACATACACACGCTGTACAGACATGTATACGTACAAACATATATGCATGCACAAAAGACCTGGCACCAAATAAACACTGATGCTAGCAGATATTTGCGCTGATTTGACACACACACACAAACACATAGACGCACACGCATGCGCACAAGTACACACGCACCTGAGCTCCAGCATTACAGGAAATCGTATCATCATTTATTTTTATCATTATTATATGACTAATACTCGACGAATCAACCGGGAAAGCCATTGAACAGAATGTTTAATGTTATTTTTGACCGCTGATTTATATTTACAAGAAAATAAAACAACGCAGCATTACACACACGCATACACAAACAAGCCCGCGAATATAAACTCAGTTTAAATATGCTACAATAAAAACAACTAACTATTATTATTATTTGCCTCCAAAACATCCAGAAATTACGTCATAATTTATTTACACATGTGATTGATGAGACGGAGAAAAGAAAATGATTTCATCAAGTACTTTGTTGGCAGCGTTTTGAGGAATTCCACGTAGAAAATTTTTTATTGAAATCTTCAATCCCCTCATCAAGACGTCTTCAGATGCGCATTAATTAATTAGTGGATTATAGCAAGGAAGAATGCATTGTGGATATTTATAATAATAATAGTAATAATAATATATAAAGCCATTTGGATGGATGTTTTATGAACTAAATTGACACATAACATACTATTGTTCCGTTGCTAATACTACTAATAATAACAATAACAATAATAATAATAAAACTGATAGAAGTGGCAAGTGGTCTTCGCAGAGGGAAAATCCCAGTTATCTGCTTTCATTCAGAAATATGGATTTTGTAATTTTAAAAGTGAGTTGTTTTCCAACGATTTATTTTATATATCACTCATTTTCCAGAGTTGTTTTGAAGAGATTTGACTTATGACCATTAATTGACTTCATTTAGACAGAAGCATTGGAAAGCCGGGGAGTACTGGTTGGCTTTTCTGTCGTATCTTTTTTGTTCCTTTACGTTCCCAGTGGAACATTGGGCTTCAAGCTAGAGGCTTACAGGATGGGGTTGCTAGCCTGATGCCCAACCTTTCCTCTTCACCAGCATTATTTCTGGCTTAGCGAGGTTAAGGAGTGCGTCTGTGGCCGGGGATCGAACCTCAGACCACTTGCGTGATCGGCGTGGTACGTCGCACACTGCCTAGTAATCTCTGATTTTCAATGGTTCTCTAACTGAAGTCTATTCTTGATCCGGAGTTGATAACACACATTATGGTACATTGTGCTAATAGCTGGATGACGCTTCCAGTACAATTTATTCCTCAGAATCAGATTTCAATGCATTCACACGACCTAATAATTTACTTTATGTAGCCATACTTCCTGCTGTTCTTTTTTAACACAATTTTTCATATATTCGGCACAGGCATTATGTCATTCCTGTTACACATGTTTGCTGTTGATTTGATGAACAAGGATTTTGTGATTAACCTCTCTCACTCTCAGCGCTCTCTCTCCCGGTCATCGTTACCGAATTACACGCAAGTGAATGCACTTCAATAGCATAAGCTTTTTCCAGATCTTTTAATTTTGGCCAGGTCAGTCATTCTAGATATTGTTGAATCCCTATTGAAATGTAGAAGACAAAAGACTTAGTAAAAAAAAGTTTATCTGGAAATTGGTGTCTTTTTATAGCCAAATTACGTACTTCTGGACTTCATGCTGCGTTTCTTTGTGTTCTTTTCGCGTTTTCCATGCATCTTCATAACGCTGTATCATTTGCCTTCTCTGAAATCAAATGTATCTCTCTGCTATTTGATATTTTTATGCCGATGAACGTCCCTTTATATATTACTGATAAATTTTATCGGTAGCACTCGCCACACTATTTTTCAATAATCCAGCTGACCCTGATCTACTATTTTGATCTATGTATTGACCTCACAAACCCTATATTGTATTTGATAAATTCTATTATCATTTTTTATCACTGGATCTATCGGATTTATAAGCCGATAAACATTAACTCTGAGTGAGTTGATTGGTTGAAATGCCGCTCTGATTTCGGCCGTATTAAGAATCCTATTTAGGGCATTTTAGTGTTCTTAATGTAGCAATATTACTGAAGCTTTAGATCCCTTATTTTTTATATTATTATTTATTATTTCCTTCCCTTGAGTTTCCAGTGAAGCATAAGACTTCAAGCTTGAGTTTTGAAGGTTTAGTGACAGTGGTATTTATTTTTTAAGGGGTGGGGTTTGCTAGCCTCACGTCCAACCTTCCGCCTTTTCTGGGCTTATTGCCGGTTAGATGAGGTTAAGGAGTACGTTAGCCGGAGATCGTACCCCAGACCACGGGGGATTTGGTTGGCGAGTATTCTACTATTTTCTTACTTTTTCTTTATGGGCCTTCATATATTTTTGAACAAAATCTGCTGGAAGGTTATCCACTAGTAATGTTTTCCTCATTCGTTTTATTTTATCATTTAAACCTTCTGATCTACAGTTTAAACTCCTGTCCGCATTTTAACTAAACCTACCTTTATCGATTTGATTTGGATGAATCAAAGTCTGAGTACCCATTAGAATGTAATGGTGTTCTATAGATGGCAGCATTTAACTTACCATCCTGTTTTCTTTGTATTTTGCAGTTTAGGATAGTTAATTCTCTCTATGTCTATTTTCTAACTCGGAAGTGAATTGCATTCCATCTACTAGTAAATTTATATTTGTGAAGGGTTTAGGGATATGTTCAGATTTCAACACAGTGAAAGTGTTGTCCACACGTCTCCACCACACCATAGGAGCACGACTAGACCCTCCAAGAGCTTTACGTTCCCCACTGTCCATTAATATATCCACCACTACTGAGGATATTGGTGATCCTGTTGCCATCCCATTTGTTTTTCTTGCACATTTAATTTTTAAATTTAGAAAGAGTAGAGTTTGATCTTAAGTGATCACCGAGTAAGACTTTTTTACCTGAGACTTTGGTTCTATATTTGTGGGTATTCAGGTTTAATGTCCACCTTACTCCTAGAACTGTTTAATGTGGGGAAAATGAATCGGGCATACAATGGGGAAACCGTCGAGTGACATTGCGCTCAGTTCCTGCCTAGGCTCGAGTGGAATACAAATGGTAAGCGACGAGTGGGTCGTCAGTGCGAGGGTGAAATGGAGGAGATCGTGTGAGGAAGAGATGAGTGATCATGGACAATCGTGGACCCAGCTGAAGACGATGGCAGAAAGCGGAAGAAAGTGGGGATGTTTTCTTGAAGCCCTATGTTCCACTTGGAACCTAAGGGAACAATAAATATTATAATAGCAACCTGTAGGTTTCACAGCATGCTAATGTATAATTAGATTAATTTTCATCTAATGTTGGTTTTATAGTTCCCTGATACCAATTAGACGATCACTGAAATCCAGAGAGTAGTGGATATCTGCTTTGTCCTGTTTTGCGACTCTTCAGAAGTGTACACCCACGACTCCACGAGGGATCAAAGCCAGGAACTTCAAGTTATGAGGTGGGATAGTTAACCATTTAGCTACTCGGGCGGAATCCAATAACCGGCCTATGAATTCTAGCTTCTGTCAGTTTGATATGTTTAGCGCTACCTAAAGTCAGTATTATCGATGAGTATTTGTCCTCACAACCGAAATGATAGAGCCACCTAAGCTTGACTCCTCAGCAGAACTCCAGACACTTTATTCCGTAGTCAGTTATTAACAAAACTTTAAGTCAATTTTTTCAAGTATTGATTTGTAAACATTTCGACTGGTTTTAAGTTAGATCAAGTGAATAGACAAGGAAATGCTATTCAGGCAATCAATTCTTGCAAATGACTCAGCTCAATAAAGGCAATGCTTTGAAGCGGAATCCATATCTGAAGTAGACAGATACTTTAGCTAATCACAACGTAACAGTAACTATTACTCAACAGTAGGGGTTACCGTTACTTATTTGAAAACGGGAGTGTATAGCATAAGTAACAGGAAATCAATGTCAAAGAAAGGTGTAAATAACATAATTAAATACTGAGTAATTTTCCGTACAGACAAGTAATTTCCTGGATTTAATAAAATAAGCAAGTTTTCTATTTTTACACAAGGATGAACTGCAACTGACAACTTTTCATTTTTAATTGACAGGTTCTATATTTTTTTAATGCTGATAGTCTAAAGTACATTTTCGACCACTTTTTGTCTCAGTGATTAGTTGTTGTCATTTTTTTTCCAGACAGTTACTGCTATTATTGTTATTATTACTGTCACTTTCACACTTGGTTGATACTGGCCAACAGTGGAATCCAGGAGTTCGTCTCAGACTATATATGGGACTCTGTAGTTTAATGTAACCACTGCCTGGTGGGTGGGAATGCAGCAACCGTAGTTTCTAACACCTATGCGTTACCCGCCACTAGGCTGATGAACTATGGAAAACACCTCTTTTGAAATGGTTATCGCCTGCTATTCGATTAAATTATTTCGACATTCCTGTTGAATGGTTCCAGTGGACCGAAATGTTTGGTCTCTATTGACTTGTCAGGTCCTGGTACGGACAATCGATGATACCTTGAGTGTGAACACTCTTCTTCACTGGAAGTACAGGTACATCCAGATAGAGAGTCTTAAACAGTATGAAATGTGTGTCCTGGATTCCACTTCTAGCTACTATCAATCAAATAAGAGCATGTTGACTGCCAGACTGTCCACGACGAGGCACTAGTAGGTGAACAATGGAGACCAAAAGTTTCGGTGTAATAGGTCAAATCAAGGGGAAATCCAAAATAATGCCAAAAAATATTATTGCTTTTATCACCATTATCATTATTACTATTGTTACTGGGAGTGACTGTAGTCTTTTGAGAACAAGTTTAACGATCAGGTCAATCCCTATCAGGCAATTAGGTTAAATTAGATAACAGTAAATAAATCTTTCTCCTCTGTAAAATTGTTATCGTATAGTTATTTGTGTTTATTTTGTAGTCGAGGCCCTAGGCGACGGTAATATTTTGGTTTCGAGTGAAACGGAAAAGATACGGATTCCCAGAATAATTTTGAGTTTACACTTGTTGAATAATCGGCTTACATAAATTCAGTGGTGCGTCGATTGTTCAATGGGGAAAGTAGGAGGTCCTGGCTCACTTTCCGGTTGATAGATTGACTCTTAAACCTTGCCTGTTTTACTTGGCAGTAAAAAACTTAGAAAAGGGGGTGTTGGGCGGGAGGGGGGCTAAGAACCCCACCCTATAAAAAAATTACAACATTGCTATCGAAACTCCAAAGCTTAAAGCTCAGAGCCCTGTGTTCCACTTGGAAGGCAAGGAGTGGAAGGAAGAGTTAACCGCTTTGAGATAAATTAAAAATGCCTATTGAAGGGTGGGTAATGCAACCATCTCAGTAATTATATGCGTCTTCATCCATCTCCAGAGACTGCACTGAGTCCTAGCTCAGAGAGAGAGAGGGGCAGGAGAGTAAGGTCCTACTACATCCATAATTAGTAATAATAACACTGTTATTCTAGAGGGCAGATTTTCGCACAGTACAGATTTGGGAGCGTTGCTTCCTAAAAAATATTCGCCCCGTGTATAGAATCTTGAATCAAAATAATAATCACAATAAGAGCATATTATCCGAAGTTATATTATTCGACCAAGGGCCCACTCCAAACCCTCCTTCTTCGTAATTTTCCATCATTTCCTAGGGGAGACTGCTTATTAGTAAGTTAGCGGCTGTTTAAAAATGCACAAGAATAAAAAATCACTGATATTTAGATGGTATGAGATGACTAAAGCAAAGCGAAATGAAATAACCTTCGTCTATAGTGTTGAATAGAAAGTTAGGAAGTCCAGAGCAG